TTTGATTGGCAACAATTGAATTAAGTTTCTATTTATGACATAACATTTCTAGGGCACTCAATTACATACATAATTTATATACAGTATATCCAGATAGTTATAAGTATCTAAAAAATAATAATAAATGCAAACCTTTTGTCACCCACATCATACCCAGCACAAATATTATAGACACAGAAATAACTATAATAACGGCAACTATTTAGCATAAATAAAATGTTAGTTTAGTATTTTGTATAATATGAAATAATTGAGAAATATTTACGTGTCAGCCAAAATGAGAAGGGTAATCGGTTAATGAGATTACAACTTTTTCGGTCACTTTGATTAGTAATTGGGTGTGAATTATGTCCAATATTTTTGGCCAAAAGTGGCTGCAATTCACTGTGCATTTCAATGAATTCATTTTCGGTGTTGTTTTCACAGTCTCTCGTATTAAAAATATTATACATATTATAAAATGCTACTATTATTATTACTGATTTGTTATATAATTAGAGTACTTATTAAATAGTACCCTGTTAAATAATAATTTAATTGAATGTAATAAATAGCTAATTGAATATTAATAATAAATGGTCGTTAGATACCGATTAAAAACAAAAAACTATTTTTAGTTAATTGCGTTTAATTTGTAATGAGTTACTAATGCCTACAATCACTAACTCTGAAAATAAATATATAAATATACTATCATTCAGTTTTGTTACTAACAGGTATATTATAATCAGATACTGTCAATTGTAAGCTAATGAAAACAGGGTTTATTTGTTTGAAGTGTTATTATTATACTTTAAAGAATAATAATGAATAAAATACAATATGTTAAGTAATATAAAGTTTTTAATAGTGTATTTTATTAAATTCAGTTTTCAGTTCAAAATTATAATATAATGTTTAATAAATATAAACTATTTTATTTCAATTCAAATTGGCGGTCAAATTGATGGCCAATATGTTGAGTGCAATGACTGTCCAGTTGTTTGGCAGCCTTTTCCCAATCATCTGTCCGTCCATTCAATGTCTCGCATATATTGATGAATACGTGGACTTTATGTAAAGCGTATGTATTCTGCAAAACAGTAAATAAATAAAAATCAATGAATTTTGAACTTATAAATGTATATTTAAATAATTGAATACTTTTGACAAATTGAAACACTTTTGATGGAAAGTGTCGACCATTTTTCGATAACACTCTCTATTATAGAGCTCTCGGTTTGTATTGAGTATAGCATTGGTTGCGATGTTTGGCATTAAGTGTTGAATACTATTCACGTATTCATACAATACTTTATCCACATATTCACGACCTCTAGTCAGACCATCTAATTCATCCTGATAGCTATTATGGGCGTGATATGCATAAAAATTATAAAAATAATAGAATAGCCCAGGTCATTTGGAAATATGGTCTACCGTTGCTTCTCATTAGTATCAACCGTAAGATCAATACGCTTTTGTCCCAAAAACACATATATATCTTGGTCAATGGTCAGATTGCATTTTTCAAGAATTATATCTTGCTTAATATCCTTGTTTAGCCCATTTTGTGAGAGAGGTCCTAAATAAATAAAAAAAATAAATATTAATTTTAAACAAATGAACATTTCTTTAAACAAAATCCAAACATTAAATTCAAATACAAACCCATAAACTGCGAAACAGTACGCGTTTTGGCAATGGATAGGTCGCCATATTGTTGGGGGTGTTGCGTGAGGTTGAGACACCAGGTCTCATCGCCCACCTGATAGGGCACCCATACATCAGGTCTGGCGGCTATGTATTGAAACTGTGTGTCCAGGGTCTCCCTTTTAGGATCACTTTGTACGGCATTTTGGAACCATATAGTCGCGAAGTAAGTAGCTAGGTATATTTTATAAAAATGATTCTTTTAGTTTTTTTAGTTATCGAGAGTTATACCCAATCTAGCAAGCTAATATATTAAATTATTAAAAAATCTTATAAATAGAGTTACCAAGAAAACTTTGTCGGGGACTAAAATCGTAAAAATATTGAGCCCCATATTCATCGGGTTGTGTAGCAGCAAGGGCATATAAGTTCCAGTCATTTGGCAATAAGTTTGCAAACATTGATCCTATTTTAAAAATTATGTTTAAATAAATACATGACTAGTTTATTAATTATTAATTTAATTTAATACTCAAAAATACCTGATTTACACGATTCTAAATAAACCACTAATTGATCATATTTGTTTTGCTTGTATAACTCGCCTAACCCATTAACAAGGTCCTTTGCGTGAAGTGTTTCATTCGGGAACATTATTATTTCTAATAATTAACAACAGTTATTAATTTTATAAAAACAAATAAAATAAAATATTGCTGTAAATGTATAAATATATATTGTATTATTATGTTGATAATTATGTTTAATGAAATATAATTACCAGTTTCACCATGAGTCATTAGGAATATAAAAATACGGTTATTTGCGTTAGTTTTAATCACTTTCTTTCTTGCCATGTTTAATTAACTCAGGGTCGCCGTTAAGTACACCAAAAAAGTTCTACATACAAAGTAAGTTAAAATATGATATTATTCAACCTTTAAATATTTAACCTTGGTGGTGACATCATTTCCGGTATAGTCTTTAGGAACCCCTTCGTAAACATTAGTGCCGTTAATAGCGTTGATTATAACCCCAGGGGTTGGGTTGTGTTTATCGTAGGCTATGTCGTCCGAATGCATGACTATTATGCGGTCATCGGGTATGCCCTGCGAGTGAACCAATTGGTACGCGTGGTATACATCCGACTATCATCAGGGTATAAATGATATTAGTTTTAAACATGAGAGGGAATATAAGAGTAATATACTTGGAGCCCATAATTGATCCAACCACCTGACCCTGATACCAATACGACCCAATTGTTTTCTGAACCATTTAAGTCATAATGATTTTCAATTGGTATAGAATTTACTGTTAAATAAATTAACGACAAAACATAGAATACTATCCTGTTCATATTTTTAAATATTAAACTTATTAAGTTTAAAATTATATTGATGTACAATTCAGACACCAATCCGTATTTATATATTACCGCAAATTTAATATTTATATAATTATCGCATAAAATATTACCCAATACAAATGTAAGCATTATGTGGCCGTGAATTGATCTTGATATTAATCAAAAGTACATTAGATACAGATGCCCTTATATTAATAATATTTATTAAGAGTATGCAATGTATTATTAAATTTTGGTAGATAAAATTGAAATGAACTGTTAAGCACATTTTGTTTAAGCATATATTATCTCATGTAATTATCTAATTAAACATTATTTACCTTTGACAGTTTAAATAAATATATTGCACATTAAAAGAAAAATAGACCCCCTACATTTACCGGTAAGTCGTTTACCTAAATATGTACTTTCGTTCAACTACATTTACTTTAAAAATAGTATTACGACTATAATTATTACAATTAAAAACACAATATTATTTTAAAAACATATTAGTCATGTTATAGTATCTATAGACTAAAATGTTTCAAATATGCTTAATCTCGTTAAACTGGGAGGTCTTTTGTAAAATGGTAGGTGCATTTGGTATATCTATAAAAATTTTTAAATGATAAACACTTGGTGTAAGAATAATTTATTTGTAATTAAATACACGTGATAATATGACAAATACTTTAAATATGCCTGCTCTTTATTTTATATGAAGTGCAGTAAGCCATTGATATTTAATAAGTATAACTGTGCATATCCAAAGTCGGAGTGTACTGGCTCAAAACTATTTTCAAATACAATTTTATTGTTAATGATCAACTTATCCCTCATGAACACCATTCCCTTCCAGTCCTCCCAATCCATGCTCTCCTATCGGCTTTCCATCGACGCTCTCCCCAATAGTATTAAGCGGGTGACTGTCCCCTCCCATCCCTGTCCCCGATGTTTCCTGTTTGGCAATCTGTTGACTCAATTTTTGAGACAACTCTTCATCCAAACCCTTCTTCACTTCTTCCCTTAGCTTTCTCTCCTCCACATCCCTGTCCTCTTTAGCTCCTGTATCCGTTTTCCCGTGACCTCCATGTCCTCCCTGTGTCTCAATATTAATCCTTTCAGTGGTAGTTATTACTGAGGACTCTGATTCTGGCTGAACAGCACCAGTAGTTTTAGATGGAGTGTCAGGGTCTCCGTGAGGGCTATTAGTGTGTGCTTCTGAATGTAAATTTACGTCGAAAGTAGGGTTTACTATAATTGTAGTCATAGACAACATTACAAGGTATAAGATTATTCATCTAATTTAATTATTTAAAAATATACGTTATATGTACAGTGTATGACATACCAATTGAACCACCTACCACAAATAATAAATAAATGATGGCAATTATAATTATTGTGGTCACTGTTTAATCATATAAAATGTTTAGTTAGTTTGAGGTGAATGGGTTCATAGAATTTTTGTACTTACCTAATAATGAGCATGGTGATTCATTATTTTGAGTAGTATGTTTGGCAATAGTGTTGAATTTGTAAACAGGGTTTGTGTGCAAAAGTGGTTTTAATTCACTTTGCATTTCAATACTAACGACTTTTGTCATATTTTATAATAACAATTAATTGTGTGCTGGATAGATTTATAATTATTTCATATTTAAGTAACATAAAATATAATTATTATTACAATATTAGAGACAATAGACTTTGTTTATTAAATTGCGTTTAATTTTCATTTATGTTATTGTTTTCTGCAATCTCTAAGTGTATTGATAAGTATGATAAAGCAGCGTGTTTATTTTATAAAACAAATATTATTTAGCACTTACGTTACCAAAAGGTTTATTATAAACAATAAATGTTTTTTTTAATTCTTGTGAAAATAGTTTATTTATAAATCTTGAACGATATTAAACATATTTACGATAATTAACTGATAAAAATAATTTTATTAAAATGAAATATTATTTTCTATAATAATAAAATTAATATAAATTATAAATATTTAATTTCAATTCAAATTCGCGGTCAAATTGACGGCCGATATGTTGAGGGCAATGGCTGTCCAGTTGTTTGACAGCACTTTCCCAATCATCTGTCCGTCCATTCAATGTCTCGCATATATTGATGAATACGTGGACTTTATGTAAAGCGTATGTATTCTTCAAAACAGTGAATAAATAAAAATCAATGAATTTTTAACTTATAAATGTATATTTAAATAATTGAATACTTTTGACAAATTGAAACACTTCTCATTGAAAGTGTCGACCATTTTTCGATAACACTCTCTGTTATAGAGCTCTCGGTTTGTATTGAGTATAGCATTGGTCGCGATGTTTGGCATTAAGTGTTGAATACTATTCACGTATTCATACAATACTTTATCCACATATTCACGACCTCTAGTCAGACCATCCAATTGATCCTGATAACTATTAAGGGCATGATATGCATAAAAATTATAAAAATAATAGAATA